AGTGGAAGTCGTCGTCGTTCACATGTGTTTGTCAAACGATTGATGCATGAAAAATGATACGACGTACGCCCACAAGGAGCATGAAATGAAGAAGAGTAAAAATACCCACCCTCTATATATGGAAACTTTTTACACTTTAGAATAAATACGTGCGTACCGTTCTATTTCGAGATCTTTTTAGGGATAAGCAGAAACGCCAAATTAATGAGTATAGTACATATGAAAAAGAATGAACAAAGAAATGGCGGAGCATTACCGTTACGTGATATTGAATTTCTAATTGGTTCGCCGCAATGCCTACATATATACATGCGTACACGAATAGTAACATTCGAATAATTTTTTTTATAATAAGAAAATATATACCAACATGTCAAGAAATACAGGAAAAAATGTGTTACGTATTTGATAATGGATGGAAATGTATATCACTATAAAATAAAAAATATCTTCTTTTTTATTATTTAAAAAAAAATAGCAATAATTAAAAAAATACATACATGATTCCAGCCAGTATTTCGAGTTGATTGGCTATTGTTCCAGTATTTCGAGAGTTGTTGGCCAAAGTAGACTTGGTAATGCTTAAAATACAGCTTAAAATATAAAAAATAAAATATATACATGAAATCATGATCATATTGAGCAATTTTCTGGAATTTGTCCTATACATGTAGATCATTCTGGGTTTGTCATTTGGATGCTGGATGATAATGACTGCATGCTTCAATGGAATAAAATGGAGAAAAGTATGATGTACATGGGATCTGACCTGACAGAAAGCCTTACGAACTATCTTTTTCATCCATATAGAATATGTTACATCATAGAGCACACTTGTGAGCGGGTATCTGTAAATGAACATTTACGTAATATGAAGGAAAAGGCAACGGAGGCTTGGGCTGATCGGGTAATATCAAAAGGAAAAAAAGAAAGGAGGAAGTTGAAGAATAATAATAATAAAATCATTACTTAGCCAAACTATATTATTTGATTTACAAAAAGAAAAGTCAAGATTCTTCTAATAATGTTTTAGATTTGTAATTCCATTTCCAAGTTATACAATAATTTAGAATTAACAAATAAAATTGCAGACTGCAATTATAACCATAAAATGAGTCTCATGCATTTTTTTTGCATAGTAAAACTTTATTACGAAAGCTTATCTT